GGGGGGGGGGGGGAGATGGGATGGGTTAATTAATAGATCTATATTTAATATCACCAGTCAAGCAACACTGTTTCATGTGCTATTTTATTTGGCTGATGACATTACTTCTTTAGATAAACATCATTTACAGCGGTCAACATTGAGTAAAAGCTCATTGGGTCCTTTCATTTACCTTCACTTTCTAATTACCATTCGCTTTAGTTCTTGATGTCGTAGTAAATCAATGGCTGTATCTGCAGGGAGATGTAGACAAGGATGGACACCTGGACTATGGAGAGTTTGTAGCAATTTCTGTTCACATAAAAAAGATGGGCAACGAGGATCACCTCCTGAAAGCTTTCGAATTTTTCGATCGAAACAAAAGTGGATATATAGAGATTGAAGAGCTACGGGATGCCTTAGCTGATGAAGTTGACACCAACAACGAAGAAGTCATTAATGCAATTATCCAAGATGTGGACACAGACAAGGTCAGTTATTTCTGTTACTGTTTTTGTCTCTTGTCTATCTTTGTTTGTCCTAGTTATGGTTTGTTTTACAGTTTTTAGTAGTATTAGTTTGGGTTATGCATAGTAACTGTCGCTTAGAGGCTACAGTATTTCAATTGCATTTTAGAACTGAAGACGGTTACAAAAATTGGCAAGAGCTGTGGTGAGACTAGGCACATGATTTGCAATCAGATCAAATTTTTTGACCTTGCAACTGAACATCCAACTGTGTTTCCTTGTTTGGCATGTATGCTGGACAAAATTGAATCTGCCATTTTTTTCTATTGGGTTTCCTGAGTGTTGTGACAATATATATTCTTTTGCATTTCATTCTTAATTTTTAATCATATGCTTGCAGGATGGACGTATAAGTTACGAAGAGTTTGCAGCCATGATGAAGGCTGGCACGGATTGGAGAAAGGCCTCAAGACAGTATTCACGAGAGCGATACAATAATCTCAGTTTGAAGTTAATGAGAGATGGATCATTGAACAGCGAGGGTCGATAGGTCACCGTTAGACAATTTACTCGCCCAGCTAAAGAATGAAAAGTCAACGACAAATGTCATATGCATTAGTTTTCAAAATTCATATTTTCTCAGTGGGTTCTTTTTTATTTTTGAGGTCTGCCTTTGCTTGGTATTGTGGGGGTATCCAACATAAGTATCCGGGTGATCATGGAATTTATTTTTTTGTGTATTGCAATGTGTTGCTTTCGTTTGTGTGGAGAGTTGCAGGAGTGTGGTGAAAGTGGAAAGATGTTTATTTGTGGCTGTAAATATTTTTGGCATATATTTCAAGGCAAGAATCAATGATGTTGCTTTTGCTACTTGAGTTTTGTCATCAGACCTTATTGAGTCAGGTCTGCCAGAATCTTATTTCTCTTTTTTGTTGACATCCAACATAATGGGGGAGAGAAGATTCAAACCCGACCCATTCATATCATCACAAATGACACTTTATTAGGATATTATTTATTGTCCGTGTTTGAAAGCACAGAGTAATAAAAAATAATAAATAACAAATATATTTGTATTTATATTTCAATTTAAATTATAAACATAAAGGAGAGATAAATAAATTTAAGCATCAGTTGTAGTGGAGGTGAGAGGTGATGGTAGGAGACAGTGAGGGTTGTGATGGGTGGTGACGATGGTGGTGGCGGCGATGACGGTAGTGGCGGCGACAATGGTAGTGGTGGTGGTAGAGATAGTGATGGTAGATGCAGTGGTGGAGCAGTTTCAAATATTATTTTTTTAAAAAAATACTTATGAGAAATAATTTCTAATAATACTTTTAAAAAGTTATTTCAAACACATTCTTAGAGACTTATTTTTTCTATTAAATTTATGGTGTTAATATTAGTCGTTAGATTAACTTTAAAATAAAATTTAAAGCGATCTGAACCGTGAAAAGTAAAAGTCATTTTGTTTATCTTTTAAAATTTGAATTGTAAAATACTTTATTATATAGATACTTGTCAAATTATCGAGCCTGTCTCTGCTTATCAGTATGAATTAGAAGACCTCGAGGTTGGCCTACGTCCGATGGGAGGTTACACGATGGAGGTGGCACTCCTCCTATACCAGGAACTCGACTGAGCTGGATCAAGGCACACATTGATCACGACGATGACCTCAGTCACCGTTTCCATGTCTATTCCTCTGTTCTATTTTTCTTCTAACTAAATATGATGTTTTATTTATATATGTATTTTTTTTAATTATATGAAATTCTAAATTTATATCCTAAGAAATTAAAATTTTCATATTATACTCAAAACAAATAGAAACTTAACAATATGTTATGTTTTTGTAAGGGGTAAAAATTGACGATACCGCTCACAAAAGATTAGATTTGATATTTTTGGTAAAGAATATTTCTGAACTTGATCTCCCAATCTTCCTGATCTGCAAAACAAACAAACTGCTCAAGATCGAAGTGCTTCGATCGAAGGTACTCCGATACTTAAGTCAGTAATGGAACTGAGACAAATGCATGAAGTCAAAGAGAGTTCAACGTACTTTTCACCTTAGCTCATTTTGTTTTTTATAGATCATTATTCCCTTAGAGTTTTCATGAATTTAGGTTCAAGGTGACACACCTTGCTTCCATTTAGCGATTTAGTTTGGGAAGCCGCTAAAATTTCTCTAGCAGTTCCCTTGGCCTGAAATCAAGCCCATTAGTTCAACCAGAATATCTGAATTGTAGGCATCTTTTTAGCACCATGTTTACTGTTTTAAACGGCTTGGTCGTATCTTATCTTCTGCTCGGCTGGGACAACCCACCTGTCTGTTCAATCGAGTTTTTTCCTCTACTAGGTCGGTCTAATATCAGCTTAGCCCGGATAACCTAATTATTTGATTTGCTCGGTTGGAATAGCCTAGTTACTTGATCTGTTCGAATAGTCTAACTAGTTGCTCTGCTCGGCCCGAATAACTTATTCTGTTCGGTCGAATAATCTAGCTACTTGTTCTGTTCAGAGCTATTTGGCCGATTGAATTTTATCCTTTGCTAGGTCATAAATTGAGTTATCTGATGATCAGAATTAATCGACCCTTCGATTTTAATAAATTCTAATTTCGAATCCGTGATCCAAACCCCATGAGTTGGTAGGCCTGCTCTTCTCCCTCGTTTCCTCTTTCTCAGACTCCTCCCCATTCTCTCAGTCACCGCGCGCGCGTACAGACACACCACTCTCTCTCTCTCTGCTAAATCTAACCCTAGTGTTACAGCTCCACCAGCGTAAGTCACCCCAACCACACAGCCCCACTCCTCCACTCGAACGCCATAATCCCCCTCCCTCCTCTGCTTCAGTCGCGCGATTCTCCTCACAACACGAGCACAGGTAAAACGTTTTGGTGTTCATCATAAGATTATGCTCACAGCTACAAGTGAATGGGTCATGTTCTTTCTCCCACTCCGAAACTGTCTGTTTTTGAATTATTTTGATTCGACCTTTCGATTAATGTCTCTTGTTTCTTTTTGTGAGACCTGCTGCTTTATTGTTGTCTGTGGTATTTGAATTTATGGATGGTTGATTTGCAATTTGTCCTTCGGGTCCAACATTTCGGCTTAGGATTTCTCAGGCTTTTCTGTTATTTTCCTAAAACAATGAATCCTTGAACAAGAATCTCTAGCACTGAACCAAATAATGATTATGTTAATAGATACGATAGATGATGCGGAATGTCCCCCGAGTCTAAGTTATGATGTTTAATTTATGCATTGTATGATATTCAAGTGTGTGAATTTTCATGTATCTATTTAATTGTGTAATCTAATTCTTGCTTCTTCTTGTTTAGTATCCTGCCATGGCACGGGGTGGCAGATCACGATCTCAAGTGGGATCTACCATGTCGGCAGAAGCAACAGAAGCATCATCACCATCAACAACATCTTCACTGCACTCTGAGTCATCTGTCGAGATGATGACGACTGGTAAGAACTAAATATCTGAAGTTACCACTAATTGCATAATATGAGCAATATAATTTGCATACTTGTTGTGTTAGCTTCATCAGTGAGTAGAAAAAGACGTGCTAAGTTCATGGCATCCTCCAGATCTTGCTCCACTAGTGGTACGGTGGAGGAGAGTACTACAAGGAGGATTGAGGCGGTGGAGAGAGAGAACCAGCAGCTATGAATTGAGATAGATGGGTTGAGAGAGGAGATGAGGAGCATTAACCGTGCAATAGAGGACCTACGTGCACAACAAGAGAGACGGGTTGAGGAGATGTTTCATAGTCTGATTGCACAACAAGAGAGGCGGGTTGAGGAGATGTTTCAAAGTTATGTTGCGGGCTTTCAGATTCCTGGGAATCCCCAACCTTCACCTTCACCTTCGTGGTAAGTTTCCAATATACTGCAATTAAATGGATTAAATTTGTGAATACGAATTATAGGAATTGTTTAGGTTTGGTCCCTTTGGTGGATTGACAATTAATTGTGAGTAATCTATCATGATTGTAATATATTAGTGGTGTTAGCTGGTTTTGAGTTTTGAGTGAGATTAGTGAAACCCACCCCCCCCAAAAAAAAAAAAAAAAAAAAAAAAAAAAAAAAACTA